ACACAAGAGTCTGAGCTGTTACCTTTTTATTTCAGGTTCAGTTCAGTCGCTCAGTCATGTCTGACTCTTTGCGACCCCATGGACTGCAGCATGCCAGGCTGGGACTTACCAACTTGTGGCACATGGAACCACTGTGGTGATAGGCCTGTAGGCCTGTAGCCTACATGCTGTAGCATGATCAGTGATTATTGCACTTATTGTGGTACCAAAGGAAGGATATTTGGCTTCCATTTCCAATCTCCCCCACCCCAACCAAATTCATATATTCCTACTTCTACTAGGCTACATTATGATTGGAAGACAGGGAATTATTGATTTCCCTATTACTATTAACTAGTTAGAGAATCAAATGTTCAGAAAACTAAGATCATGGCAACCAGTCCCATCACTTCATGGCAAATAGATGGGGAAACAATGGAAACAATGAGAGACTTTATTTTTTGGGGCTCCAAAATCACTGCAGATGGTGACTGCAGCCACGAAATTAAAAGACACTTGCTCCTTGGAAGAGAAGCTATGACCAACCTAGACATCATATTAAAAAGCAGAGACATTACTTTAGCAACAAAGGTCCATCTAGTCAAAGTTATGGTTTTTCCAGTAGTAATGTATGGATGTGAGAGTTGGACTATAAAGAAAGTTGAGTGCTGAAGAACTGATGCTTTTGAACTGTGGTATTAGAAAAGACTCTTGAGAGTCCCTTGGACTGCAAGGACATCCAACCAGTCAATCCTAAAGGAAATCAGTCCTCATTATTCATTAGAAGGATTGAAGCTGAAGCTGAAACTCCAATACTTTGGCCACCTGATGCAAAGAACTGACTCACTGGAAAAGACCCTGATGCTGGGAAAGATTGAAGGAGGGAGGAGAAGAGGATGACAGAGGATGAAGTGGTTGAATGGCATCACCAATGCAATGGACATGAGTTTGAATAGGCTTCGGAAGTTGGTGATGGATAGGGAAGCCTGGCATGCTATAGTCCATGGGGTTGCAGAGTCGGACACGACTGAGCAACTAAACTGAACTGAGTCAGAGAATCAGGGATGGGAAGAGAAGCATAAGATCTAGGTTGGGGACAGTATGTATGGCTGGAAATTCTCCCCAGATTAAGGTATATCCCTGGGAGGCAGAGAAAACCAAGAGGGGTATTGGGGGAAAACATACATGTTAAATGGTCAATTCAATTTTCATAGTGGTAAAGGTACTTCCTGGAGCATAAAGAAAATGGTATATATTGCTCAATGTCCTAAGACTTCTCTGTCCTTTGGGAGGTGAACTAAAGTAAACCAAAGTGAAGGTCCCTTCAGTTCCTCTCTGAGATAAACAACACCTTTCTAAAGAAACTTGCTGTCATGGTTTCACACATTAAATTCAGTTTCTAAAATGAGCCAGGGAAGGGACATTCAAATCAAGGTTTTGAATAAGGTTCCTACTCAGTTATTCTGGGAAAAGGTAGGGAGGAGAAAAGAAATTATAGATGAAGATGGCTTGCAAAAGCCCTGTAAACCCCCATAACCTTTGCCCAGACCCACCCACCCCTGTGATGAGAGAGCCATGGGAATGTAATCCCAGCACCTCTCCTGTGAGCTGACTCAGCCTGGGTAAGTCACCACTCCTTCCTCTTTTCACCTCTGAGATAGTCTCCTGAACCAGTCACTGTTCACTGTCTAAATGGGAAGCCGTGTCGGCACATGGGCTTCAGCTGCATGGACAACGATACAACAGTAACCAAGTATGAATAAATGCCATGAACCCTGTGGAGAAACAGAGGAGGGCAGTAGTCAGGAAATGTTTCCAAGAAGGGACAGTTGTCCATAGACCCAAGGTTAATTACAAGTTGACTAGAAAATTAAAGCCTCTAAAACTGACTGCCACCCACTCAGGTCTAAAAAATCTCCAGGCTCTGTGATCTAAGATGTCACAAATTCCAGTCTACAGCATAGGACTTAGCAACCCTCCAGGTGACTTGAAATCCTTTTCATCACTTGGAAATAAGTTGCTTTTTAAAATTTTAAGATCATTAAAGAACAATCCAGAATGGACCCACTTCTTCAGGTGTAGAGGAAAGTGTAAGCAGCCAAAGCAATCCTGAAACTTCCTACAGAGTGTGGTGTTAATGATTAACCACCCTTCACACACACACACACACACACACACACACACCCCCCATTATTTCATGTTTGGCTATTTTTCACTTCCAAAAAGGCAGTTATAAATGTTATTGGCTCTCCTTCTTCCTTCTCACCCATCTCTATTTCCATTCTACCCATGATTCTCAGTTTTCCTGCCCTTTAACACTAATTTCAAGGTGGGGAAGGAACATCATCTTTCATCAAACCTTTCTGCCACACTCATACTCAACAGAAACAAAAACTGGAACAGAAGAACACCAGATAGCTGCCTTAATCAATTTCCCAAACCCAAAGACAAGCTCCACTAACTTCATCTATATTTTTCTCAAATATGATTTAAAGGCCACATAGGTACATCACTAAATCCTTAACTCTTACTCTAGTGTTAACAATTACAACCACTTAGGATTCACCAGAGCAAGTCCAGGATAGCTTAGGTTTGTGTCAAAAATAACCAAAACATTCCACTTCCTCTTGGTTCCTTTTTTTCCCAGACATTAGGAGGTGTCCTTTAAATGCAGGACTGGAAGCCAGTCACAGTCAGCCAGGGCTCCTTGACTCAGGAACCATAGTGGGTTCTGATAGCTTCAGAGTCATCTTTACAACCAGAGAAACTGGTTTAACGGAAAAGGGAGGCCAGGCAGGTCCCTGGTAATGCCCTGCCATCAACCCCTCAGACACTCTCCTGAGTCCTTCTCTGTGTTGCAGCTTCAGCATAGAGTTCTGGGGCTCTGGACAATGCATTCAAGCTCAGTACAAGACCTTATATTTTTCAGTCAGCTCCCAGATAGATGTCTATGGGCTGGGTGGGGACTCAGAGCTCTCTCTTCCATTAGAACAGATGCAGGAAGCCTCAAGCAGTACCCAACACCTCAGACACTGTCACCCTGCCCAGTGGCGCCACGAGTTCTTTGAAGGGTGGCTAAGTCACGTCCACTACCATACTCCTCAGATTTGAGTCCCAGTTTCCCATCTTCACATCTTTTAGATCTAGGAAAGAGTAAGGGGTAAAGTGGGAGAAGGGGAGAGGCACCCACCTTTGTTATCCTCCTTTTCCCTTTTAAGCTGCTTTCACTGCTCAGGACTTTTCCTTCTCTCAGTCTTCAGCTAAGACATTCTCCTCCACTCAGGCTGTAGCAACACCCCTTCTCCAAGCCACAGAGCCTGTAGCCACTGCTTTCCCAGTCCAGCAGGCAGGAGGTGACCCAGCAGGCGCCCCAAGTGAGCTCCCTGCCCCCTCCTTGCACCACAACATAGAGGGCCAGCCAGGGCAATTCACAAACAAATTGAAGGCTGAAAGACCCCTGGAGAATTACTCTGTCAGGAAGCTGGGGCTGCCACACATCTGGACTCAAGGAGGCAGCTGCAGGGCCTTTAGTTTCCTGTCCAAAGGGAAAATTTGGACCGCCCAAAGGCAAAATAAGCACCGCCCAAGTTCCCAAATTTTGCCTTTGAACAGGAAATGGACTCCCTAGAAATCCTACTTGGAAAGTCTGCACCAGGACAGCAGCCTAGCCTTCATCGAAAACCCACCCATTCAGATTCCCTTTGGCCATTTCCGGCTTCCTTTCCCTTTTAATACCTGCTTCTTTCAATTCCCAGCCAGGTTTTATATGGTTCTGAACTAGGCTTGGATTTTTATGAGGGTCCCTGGCCTCCTAAAATTCTTTCTCCCTCTGAATTTTTATTTTTAGAGTTAGCTACTACACAGTTCTAGGCTGTTTTAATTAAATGCAGAGACTGAGAGAATCTAACGCTGAGATTATGAACCTTAATGACTTGGGGAAAGGTCCTTCAGATTTAATTAGTTTTTGTGGCCTTATATCTGTTTAGGATGGAGAATTTGTCAGAGCTGTGTGTAGGGTGGGCACAAAGGATGGTGGTCACTTGAATAAAGTTTATTCACCAGTAAGTCCCAGAGAGTTCCATGGGGACCTTATCAGGTTAAGATGGGCATGGAGTCTGGGCCATTGAAAACAGGGTAGAGGAGAGACACCATCAGGTGAAATTTTTAAAAGACCAATGTCAAGTGAGAGCCCATATTCTCACTTCTAACTACATAGAAACAGACCCTCTGAGCTGAGGTGTTAAAGAGACATAAAATGTGTTAGGAACATCTACTAACTCTGTCTAGGAAGGGCTCCATTCTTTTTCAGGACGGGATGCACAATGATAACCTTCCTTCTGTCATCCTCACCATCTTGTTTTGCAGGCTGATTTTGGGGAAATTAGTTGCTTCCTGCAAGGCTGCTCAACAACACTAAAATTAGCATAATAATTAAATACAGTCCTAATTGGGTACATAGAGAGTTCTTGGATAATTAATGAGCCAAGCTCTGGCCCAGAGCTGCAAACCCACGCTAGCCTGCCAAAGCCCAGGCACAGAAAAGCGGGCTCCAGTCCCCAAATAAAGTTGTCACTTGGCAAAAATAGTTCCTGGTGTAGAGGCAAGTGTCAAATACATTCCTATAGCTAAGAGTCATCCCGCGGCTGAGGTCCATATGTAAATGAGAGCAGGAAAGTGTGACTCTGCCACTACGGGGAGCGCAGAGCTCCCAGGGCCCTCTCCCCACCCCCCCGCACCCGTGCCTCACCCCCCTGCAGACTGGCGCCCAGCAACCAAAGTCGCTGATAAGTAACTCAGTTCCCAAACTAGAGCTCCGCATCCAAGTCTGAAGCTCTCTGAGACAGAGAGCGAGCGAACCGCATAGTGCTGCAGAAACTGCAAAGAACACAGCTGGGAACATCCATCTGCCGTGCTCCGCTCCCCAGCCCGAGTTTCCCCCATCCCACGGCCCGCCGCCAACCCCAATTCAGCCGCTCCAGTCTTTGCCTAAGAAGAAGGTGCCAATGCCGACAGTCACTCACCCCTGCACGGAAAGCAACAGCAGCACTTCGCAAAGAGCCACCCCAAAGAGGGACCTCGGGAGTACGCGCGGTCGCCGCCCTTCATGCTGCCGGTGGCCCCAGCGCTCCGGCATGACCCGGGGCACCAGCACCTGTGGGAGCGCAGCCGGCAGGCCACCTCGGCGGGCGCCGCGGCCCCGGAGGCAGCTCACAACCTCGGCCCTCCTTCCCGGCCGTACTGCACCGCGGCCGCCGCTGCGACTTTCTGAAAGCCGGAGCCACCTTGGGGAGGAGAGGAGGGCGGCGCTGGGGGCGGAGTCCCAAAGTCCAGCTGTTCGCCCTAGTCCCGCAGGCAGAGTGGCCCAGGGCCTTATGCAACGGCGCTCTGACCCAGGGCACAGAGCATGCAAGGAAGGAGTGTACACAACCCACAGCGCAACACAGGTGCTTTTTCTTCAGTGTGACTTCCTCTCCTCCAAGGCCACCACAATCAGCTACGGCTTAAAATACACAACCTGATGAAGCTAGAGAGAAGCAAATTTAGAAGGTTCCAGACTCCTTACTGCTTTTTCTCTAACAGGTTTCCCTCTTCCTTCTCCTCAGCCTCCGAACATGGACAACTCCCTGTGTTGAAAATACCTTCACCTATCCTTTTCTTTCCTTCTTTTAAATATTTAAGGTTAAATAATAATAGTGCCTCCTCTTTTTATCAGCTCCGGGGCAGCAATGTTGTTACTTGAAAGCTCCGGATTGGAACATAACCGTAAGACCGAAGTTCAAAGCTTTGTCCCCTACTAGCTGTCTGACCTTAGGCAAGTCATTTCACTTTTTTGACCTTCAGTTTCTTCATTTAAAAATTATAGGAGGGAAAAATAATCCCCATATTACAGGGTTGCTTAGAGAATTTTAAAAGACATATCCATGAAGTAGGAGTTAAGAGATTTGAGTGAGTGCCTACAGAGAAACTACAGACACCTTACTTGTGGTGGAAGATGTCCATTCATTCCCCTAACCACACCCAGTGGGTCTATCATTCCTGTACTTAAATCTCTAGCTGTTTCCTTTTTTAATTCTTTTCATATTTCAAGGTCAAGCTCATATCCACCATACCTCCCTGCCCCCCAGAAGCCCACATGGACCACATCAACTGGACCTTCCCACGAACCACTGAGTTTATCACTCACAAAACATCTCTCCCATTCCTTTGTGTCCATATTTAGGAGAAGGGATTTATGGAAACATATAGCACTCATAAGGTAGTGATAGCCCAATCATCAGATTTTTTTTTTTTTTAAAAGGAAGCTTGTGAGAAGAACATGAAACAGAAGCTTGATCACTCAATTCCCACCTGGAAGAAAGAGCCACAGGACAAGACTTTGCCTTCTATACATTAACTCATCGATCACACCAAAAAACCTTATAAGATAGGGTCCTCTTTTAAACAGAAAGAAACTGAATGAATGAATGGTGATGAGACTCTGATGATTTAACTCTAAAGAGAGATTCTAAAAATCTTCACCCCATAGGAAGAACAGAACCCAAAGTCAAAATCTACCTTCAAGGTCTACCACTGCCACCTCCCTGATGGCTTCTCCTGGCAGTTTTAAAATAATAATCTCACTGTTAAGCAGGAAGTGTGCCCCAGGTGCTCCAGATATGAAACACAGAAATGAAAGTTCAAATTGCTCACGCAGCCCAAACGCCAGATTACTGAATTCAGTGATCATTCTATTGGTCAGTCTCATCTTGAACCTTCAGTCCTTCTAAAAATGAACTTTATTTCCTTGTGATCCACTGCCTGGGTGCTATGATATGAGTCAACATTTGGTCTACCCAATACTGGGGCATTCTGATAAGACTTCAAAAACAATTCAAAATTGCTTGATGAGTAACCTCTGTTACTTTAAACCTTCTTCTGGGCCTTTGCATTTGAAAACTCAAACTGTTAGTCGCTCAGTCGTGTCTGACTTTGTGCAACCCCATGAACTGTAGCCCACCAGGCTCCTCTGTCCATGGGATTCTCCAGGCAAGAATACTGGAGTGGGTTGCCAGCCCTTCTCCAGGAAAATCTTCCCGACCCAGGGATCAAAGCTGGGTCTCCTGCATGGCAGGTGGATTCTTTACAAGTGTTCAGGTGACACTGGATCGTCTTTCTATCAAAATCTTTTGCAAAAGGCTGATGACATCATCTTGTGGAAGCTAGCTTGAATTAGATGTCTGAGGAAGACTCTAAACTTGCTTCAGAAATAAAAGTACCAGAAACTAATAGGTAAAAAATAAGCTATAAGTATATGTTGTACAGTGGCTGATTTTATTTTTTTTGGCTCCAAAATCACTGCAGATGTTGATTGCAGCCATGAAATTAAAAGACGCTTATTCCTTGGAAGGAAAGTTATGACCAACCTAGACAGCATATTAAACAGCAGAGACATTACTTTGTCAACAAAGGTCTGTCTAGTCAAGGCTGTGGTTTTTCCAGTAGTCATGTATGGATATGAGAGTTGGACTATAAAGAAAGCTGAGCACAGAAGAATTGATGCTTTTGCACTGTGGTGTTGGAGAAGACTTGAGAATCCCTTGGACTGCAAGGACATCCAGCCAGTCCATCCTAAAGAAAATCAGTCCTGGGTGTTCTTTGGAAGGACTGATGTTGAAGCTGAAGCTCCAACATTTTGGCTACCTGATACAAAGAGCTGACTCATTTGAAAAGACCCTGATGTTGGGAAAGATTGAAGGCAGGAGGAGAAGGGGATGACAGAGGACAAGATGGTTATATGGCATCACCGACTCAACGGACATGAGTTTGGGTAAATTCTGGGAGTTGGTGATGGACAGGGAGGCCTGGTGTGCTGCGGTTCATGGGGTTGCAAAGAGTGGGACACAACTGAGTAACTGAACTGAACTGAACTGATATATTGGACAACACAGAGAATAGAGTGAATATTTTATAACTATAAATGGAGTATTTAAAAATTGTTAAACAGCATTTTAAACTTACCACTACACTGTACACCTGTAACAGAATGTTGTACAATGAAATGAAAGTGTTAGTTGCTCAGTCATGTCCAAGTCTTTGTGACCCTATAGACTGTAGCCTGCTAGGCTCCTCTATGGAATTCTCCAGGCAAGAATACTGGAGTGGGTTGTCATTCCCTTCTCCAGGGGATCTTCCCAACCCAGGGATCAAACTCTATAAATATACTTCAAAAAGAATCTGAGTACAAGTAGACCCTTAAAGTAGTCTTAGTCTCCATGTAAAGGATTCATTAGGCATGTTTCCACTGGTCCTTATTAACCAGGAATCCACCCACTGTCAATTTAAAGGACATTAAAATAAAGCCATTAGGGACACCTACCCAACTTAAGTTGATATGATCAGCACATTTTGGGGCATTCTGAAGATTGGTTAGGCATCAATAACCCAAGAGTCCCATTGCCATCCTTGTGTGTCTTCCAGAATGAGACCAGTGATGTCTAAAATCCAGCAAGGAAGTCTTGAATACTACTGAGACACTGACCAATTTCAGACTGATTCATTGACTCAGCAAATACCTACTGAGTGCCTACTATGTGCCAGGCTCTGTTTAAGGCACTGGGTCTACATTCTCAAACAGAAACAATCCCAGTTGTTGTGGAACAAGCTGCTACAACAGACTCAACATGAACATGAAAGAAAAGGGAATCAATGTTAGATATTTGACCAAGTTTTGAATTTAGGGATTTAAGAAAATAGGTGCCTGAATCCTCTAACCTACATCTAGATGTTTGAATTGTCCTCAGGACAATTGGGAGGGGATGGTAGAGCAATGGTTTTTAAACACAGATGCTTATTAGAATCATCAGGGAAGTTGTTCCATTAATAAATTCTAGGCCTCAGTATTTTTTTTAAAGTTCTCCAGATAATTTCAGGGTGGAACCAAGTTTAAGAACCACTGATGCCTGGGTCTTCCTCCCCTATCCCTCTCAAGATTCAGATTAATTCACTTTGGGTGAGGCTGTATTAGTATTTTTTCAGTTCCCCAGGTGTTTTGTAAGATGCAGCATAGTTTGAGAGCCACTGCTGTAATGTGGTGGTTCTCAAACTTGAGTGTGCATCAGAATTACTTGGAGAGTAAGTTACAGCACAGATTACTGGGCCTCACTCCCAGACTTTCTGATTCAGTAGGTCTGGGGTGGGGCCTAAGGATTTCATATCTGCAAGTTCCAGGATGATGTTCATGTTGTTGGTAGGACCACACATTGAGGACCAATTCAGTTCAGCTTAGTTCAGTCATTCAGTCGTGTCCGGCTCTTTGCAACCCCATGGTCTGCAGCATGCCAGGCTTCCCTGAGCTTGCCAACTCCTGGAGCTTGCTCAAATTCATGTCCATCGAGTTGGTAATGACATGCAACCATTTCATCCTCTGTCGTCCCCTTCTCCTCCTGCCTTCAGTCTTTCCCAGCATCAGGGTCTTTTCCAGTGAGTCAGTTCTTTGCATCAAGTGGCCAAAGTATTGGAGTTTCAGCTTCAGCGTCAGTCCTTCCAATGAATATTCTGGACTGATTTCTTTTAGGATTGAGAGGTTTGATCTCCTTGCAGTCCAAGGGACTCTCTAGGTAGTGAAATCTTCCCCATCTGTTTGCAATCTACACCCTCTTCTTTTTGCAACAGCACTTTGATTTTTCTTTGAGAAACCAGCTCTCCTCCATTCTTAGATCATGTTTTTGGATGTAGCTGACACCCTCCCTATGTCCATGCTCCACTCTAAGGATAGGCCTATGACCTGGGCTTAGCCAGCCAGTCAAGGGGACTGGTTCAGATTTAGCACATGACCCAATTTCAACCAATGATCAAAAACTAGAGACCTTAGCAATAACTACTGTGAAAGGAGCAATCCTTTCTCAGAAGATTTCTACGTTGATAGAATGTTAACCTAAAGCAGCTGGAGGCCATCTTGCCATAAAGCCAACACAGAGGAAAGAGATGAAATGAGAGAGAGATAGGGGTGTGTGTGTGTGAGAGGGTCAATGACATCACCTAAATATACTTCTTCCCCGAAGTTTTATTTATCCCTGGACCTTATCTGAGCCCCACTCCAAATAAACATCATTTTGCATAAGACAGTGGAATGTCTATAACCTCAAGGTTTTCAAACTCCACCCACCCACTCCCAAAGTTCAGGCTAAGAACCACTGAGCTATAGCTGTATCTCTGCTGCTGCTGCTGCTGCTAAGTCACTTCAGTTGTGTCCGACTCTGTGCGACCCCAGAGACG